TTCCCCGCCCACAGACAGTTGGTTACCAAGTCCTGTGATTTCTGCACCCCTGAAGGTATTTCAGATTTGTCCCCTCTGTTCTGTCTTATGCCACCTCTTTAGCTTAAGCCCTCATCTTTCTCCCCTAGAGTATTGCTTTCTATCTTGTCCCTTATAGATCTATCCTCCACATCATCCCTAGGTGAAATTTGAAACAATGAAAATCTTTTGGTATTACTTAACCTGCTTTCCTTCCTTCAAGATCAGATCCTGACTCTTCCTGGTCAGGTCCTTCCCGCAGAGTCATTTGCAGTGTCTCCAGCCATGCTGCGGATTTCTGTACCTCTGTGTCTTTGCCCCTGCCTTGCCCTCTGCCTAGAGTGCCTTCCATGGCCTCCCCTCCCCTCTGCCTGCTTCTTCACCTGCCTTAGCTGGTACTCCTTCCTCAGGAGGTGTTTCCGCTCTGCACAGGCTTCTCTAACACCCACCTGACTTAGATGTTCCTCTTCTGTTGTCCTGCCCCCTGGATAGCTCCCTCATAGGTGATACAGCCTCATGCTCCATCTGTGGTTTATGTCTGTTTCTTCCATCAGGCAGGCTGGGGAAGCATTGAAAGCACAGATTTCGCTTATTCATCTTTATGCCCAGTAGATTTCTTTTGTATACAGGGTTCTTAACAAATACTTACTGAGTAGATGAATGAAATCAGCATATGTCTAGAGACTATTCAATGTATCCAGTATAGTTTAAATAAACAGTTTAAAAAGTACCACCCCCTACCCCAAGTTCAGTCTTACCTGTCCCTATTACAATTTGAAATCCATAGTGCCCAATCCTGTAAGTTTCCTGGTTTTACCAGATTTTCCTATCATTTCCTTGTCCCTTGGGCTTGTCGATATCAGGAACATTGCAAATACCAGATTTTGTCCCTTGTCTGATAGGACCTGAAGAAGACCGCTTGCTGTGGGTCCCTTTTCGAGATATTGTGTTATCTGATACACTAACAGGCACACACACAGTAATAATATCCCTCCATCTAGCTTGTTCTTTTTCTCTACCCCAGCTTTACCCCCCTGGTTCTAACAGATCTGTTACTATACAGGCATACCTAGGAGATATCGCGAGGTCAGTGTCAGACCACAGCAATAAAATGAATATTGCAATAAAGCGAGTAGCACAAAGTTTTTGGTTTCCCAACGCACATAAAAGTTATCTTTACACCATACTGTAGTCTATTAAGTGTACAATAGTATTATATGTAAAAAAACTGTACATACTTTTAAAATACTTAATTGCTAACAAATACGATCATCTGAGCAAACCGTAATCTTTTTGCTGGTGGAGGGTCTTGCCTCAGTGTTGATGGGTGCTGACCGATTAGGGTGGCGGGTGCTAAGGTGGGGGGGGGGGGCTGGGACGGTTTCTTAAAATAAGGCATCAGTAAAGTTGGCCACATTGGTTGACGCTCCTTTCACAAACAATGTCTCTGTAGCAGGGCAATGCTGTTTTATAGCATTTTACCCACAGTAAAACTTTCAAAATTGGAGTCAGTCCTCTCAGACCCCGCCGCTGCTTTATCAGCTGAGTTTATGTAATATTCTAGATCCTTTGTTGGCATTTCAACAGTCTTTACACATCTTTGCCAGAAGTAGATTCCGTCTCGAGAAACCACTTTCTTTGCTTATCCATACGAAGCAGTTCCTCATCTGTTCAAGTTTTATCATATGACGTTGCAGCAATTCAGCCACATCTTCAGGCTCCCCTTCTAATGCTAGTCCTCTTGCTGTTTGCACCACATCTGCAGTTATTTCCTCCACTGAAGTCTTGAACCCCTCAGAGTCATCCATGAAGGCTGGGATCAACTTCTTCCAAAATCCAGTTCACGTTGACATTTTGGCCTCTTCCCATGGATCATGGATGTTCTTAATGGTGTCTAGAATGGTGCCTCTTTTCCAGATAATAAGACTTGAAATTCCTCCTTGATCCATGGGCTGCAGAATGGATGCTGTGCTAGCAGGCGTGAAAACAACATTAATCTCGTTGTACCTGTCCATCAGAGCTCTTGGGTGACCAGGTGCTTTGTCAATGAGCAGTAATAATTTGAAAAGAATCTTTTTCTCTGAGCAGTAGGTCTCAACAGTGGTCTTAAAATATTCAGTAAACCATGCTGTCAACAGATGTGCTGTCATCCAGGCTTTGTTGTTCCATGTGTAGGGCACAGGCAGAGTAGATTGAGTGTAATTCTTAAGGGCCCTGGGATTTTCGGAGAGGTGAGTAAACATTGGCTTCAACTTCAAGATGAAGTCACTGGCTGTATTAGCTCCTAAAGAGCATCAGCCTGTCCTTCGAAGCTTTGAAGCCAGTCGTTGACTTCTCCTCTCTAGCTATGAAAGTCCTGAATGACAGCATCTTCCCAATATAAGGCTGTTTCCTCTACATGGAAAATCTGTTGTTTAGTGTAGACACCTTCGTTAATGATCTTAGCTAGATCTTCTGGGTAACTTGCTGCAGCTTGTACATCAGCACTCACTGCTTCACCTTGCACTTTTTCCTTATGGTCATGGCTTCTTTCCTTAAACCTCATGAACCAACCTCTGCTAGCCTCAAACTCTTCTTCTGTAGCTTCCTACCTTCTCTTAGCCTTCATAGAATTTAAGAGCGTTAGGGCCTTGCTCTGGGTTAGGCATTCACAACTTGGCTAACTGTTGCAAGAGGCCTTGCTTTTGACCTGTTTTGGCTTTCAACACGCCCTCCTCACTAAGGTGAATCATATCTAGCTTTTGATTTAAGATGAGAGACATGTGACTCTTCCTTTCACTTGAACACTTGAGGCCAGTGTAAGGTTATTAATTGGTCTAATTTCAATATTGTTGTGTCTTAGAGAATAGGGAATAGGGTTAGGGAATCAACTCTTCATACTTGCTACTTACATTAGCCTGTGCAGTTTTACAGTCGGTGCTTGGTCTCTGAAGCCTCTTAAGAAGTTTTATTTGAAGACAGTAGTGATGAACCTAATCCCAAATGTAGAGAAAAAAATGTTTCCTGGGAAATGCCTGAGAATTGCCAGGTGTTTTTATAGAGCCCAGGAAAGAGAGAGGAACAGGGAATGAAGAAAAATAAGAAACAGTAGGAATTTCATACACGTGCTGAGCGTGTGACCAAAGACATGGTCACTGTCTTCGGTAGGAAGGGGCAAGTGGGAAATAGACAAGACAAGGCGTGCAAACCAGCCACCTGTCTCTCCTCTGCCACTGCCGCCTTCTCCAGGGCCCTTCCCTAGCTTCTGCTCCTGGGGGACGGTCAGAGGCAGGCTCTGAGGATGGGAGACTGATGTACTGTGTGGGATGGGGCCTCGGATCTCCTTGTCCTTATTTTTCAGACCTGCAACCCTCCCACCCACCTAACTCAGCCTCCACTGTATAGTTGAAGGAACTGGGGCCCAGGGGGTGAGGTGATTTACCCCTTATCTGACAGCCCGTTAGGAGCATGGCAAAGCAGTCATGTGCAGGCTTGAGGAAATGTTGTCTTTGTTTCTGGACTTTAAAAGGATATTAAAATGAGAACATCTTATTGGATTGGAAATTTAACGGACTTGAGTGAAAAGATATGTGAAAACGTTACAAAGCCAGTGGCGTCCCTAGGCGTGACACAGTCGAAAACTAAAGTGTTGGGAAAGTAGGACGTTGTTCTTAGTGTGGCTGTTCCCCTTCCCTGCCCTTTCTGTTGTCCCTGTAGGCCGCCAGCTCACCGGAGCCGAGAGGGCCTCCACGGCCACCGCAGAGGAGACGGACATCGACGCAGTTGAGGCCCCGCTCCCAGGGAATGATGCCCTGGAATTCAGCCGAGGTGTGACTGACCTCGACGCGGTAGGGAAGGAAGGAGGCTCCCACACAGACTCCAAGGTAAGCTGGAGGTGGCCCACCCAGGTGGTCTGCACGCATATCACCTCCCAGAGCAGTCTGTGTCACAGCCTCAGCCACCATCAGTCACCTCTTAGGCCCTGCCGGGTCACCTTTAGAGTGAGGCCCTCCCCAGCACGGTGGTGGTTCAAGAGCATGTTTTACTTCCTTTCAGAGGGGCCTAACTTCTAGAGATTCAGTCCCCGTGTGTTGATGCTAGACGCTGCTGCGTGTCATGATACCACAGAGCTCATTCCTGATGCGCACCACCCTCCAGGGTCCCATCAGCACTCGGTCCCCTTCTTCTCAGTGGAAGCCCCACCTTTAATGGCACCTTGTCGCTGCACAGTACCTGTGCATGGCTAATCCTTGCACAATGTGACATGATCCCCGGGGGCTTAGCTGAAGGAGCAGAGTGAGTTAGGGCTGCCTCTGCCTGCAGCTAGCAGTTGTGTGCCTTTGATGCTCCTGGGGAGGCTGGAGATTGGCCCCTTGGAGGTTAGAAACTGTCAGACCACCTCAGGCGTCATCAATTTCAACCTCGTATCTTACGGGTGAGATGATGGACGCCCTCAAGGAGTTCCTGATAGGATCCAGGTTAAGAAACTAAGAACCTCCAACCCGAAGACAAAACAACCCCCCCCCCACAACAGGAGGAAAATACTGACAAATTGCCCTTCCTGTAGATTCCCTGCCAGTTCCCTGTATCAGGAGTGCCTCTCTTTCCTCACCATGCAATGCCTTTTCTAACGTGGAAGTCGTTAGGCTAGTTCATCAGAAGGAGAAACCTGTCTAGTTTGAAGGGCAATGTTGTTCCAGATTGTCTGCCTGATATCTTCTTTGGTGCCCAATTTGTACTCTGCAAGTGGCAAAAGCCCTCTGTCACTGGGTGCTTCCTCTTGCACATCTGAAAAAGGACCAGCAGCAGAGCTGCCAGAAATCAAATTCAACCCTGTGCTTGAATTCTCTGGCTCACAGAAACCATCTTAATGAAAGTGTCCAACTACCAGGAGGGAGACAGGAGGGAAGGGAATGGAAACTGCTTTCCCCTTCCAGAAAGAGGATCTCTCCAGACTACTATCTGTGTCCCGACTTGCTTCCCTGGTGGCTCTCACTGTGAGAGGAGGCCGTGCTGTGCTGGAGCGCCTCCCTCACGTGTGGCCAGCTCAGGAGAACCCCGCAGAGCCTGGAAGAGGGAGCCCTAAGAACACAACAAAGTAAAGGTAGAAGCCGCCCCGTAGTGGGGTGGTAGGTAGCTGTCTTTCATAGAGACAGATCCCTCTAAGTCCAGAACCTCAAGTGACTCAACAACATGGTATAGTTGGAAGCTGTGGGCAAGAGATGGGATGATCTCAGCTGCCTGGTCTCCCATCACATGGCATCAGTAACTCAGGTGTCCAAATAGGGTTTTCTGACTCTGTGGTCCCAGCCCAGGCCGTCAGATCATCATCTCCTCTGTGGGGGGTCTGTCCACATTTCCACTGAAGATGTAGCATTGGGGCTTCCCAGGTGGCGCAGTGGTTAGGAATCCGCCTGCCAATGCAGGGGACGCGGGTTCCAGCCCTGGTCCGGGAGGACCCCACATGCCGCGGAGCAGCTAAGCCCGTGCACCACAACAGTAAGCTTGCGCTCTAGAGCCTGAGAGCCACAACTACTGAGTCTGTGTGCCACAACTGCTGCAGCCCACATGCCTAGAGCCCGTGCTCTGGAAGGGAGGCCACTGCAATGAGAAGCCCGCACAATGAAGAGTAGTCCCGCAACTAGAGAAAGCCCACGCACGGCAATGAAGACCCAATGCAGCCAAAAAAAAAAAAAAAAAAGACGTAGCATTTCCAGCTCTTGGTTAAAAGCGGGCCATTTCACCCCACCCTCCTACATGCTGTATGTATTAAAGGCAGAGTGAGGCCCCTAAAGGTGGTGCCTGCCCAGGGTCACGCCGTGTGTCCTCTTCTCCGCCAGGTCTCAGCCCGACCCCAGGAGCCCATGCTGACAGCCTCGCCCAGGATGCTCCTTCCCTCGTCTTCCTCGAAGCCCCCGGGCTTGGGCGTGGGCACGCCGCTGTCCACCCAGCACCAGATGCAGCTCCTCCAGCAGCTCCTCCAGCAGCAGCAGCAACAGACACAAGTGGCTGTGGCCCAGGTTCTCCTCAGCCTCCTCCCTACTTCGCAGGCTCCACTCTCATGGGCTTGACGCGCCTTCCTTAGCCAGGGGCACAGGGCCGGTTTACAACCTAGCGAGCTGTGAGGGTTGGCTCCCGCTGTTGGGTCGTTGCTTGTGGAGGAATGGGGGCGGCAGGGAGGGGAGAGATGGGGGACGCGGTTGACATGGGAAGAAGCGTTTTGGCTTCCTGTGTACCCCCCGCTCTGAGCTGGGCTTGGCTGGCTTGGCTGGATGTTGTTGGATAATGATTTGAACTTCCTAAGGAACAAGATGCACATAATTTCACCCTTCCTTTCCTACCTTCATTTGCTGGTGTTTGGGGTGGGAAGGGACTCCTCTGGAGTCAGGACAGATGTGACTTTGTGATACCACTCTTAAAAGAGTTTAAAGTATGAATTGGTCCCAAACACCCTTGCAGAAGCTACCACCCTGGAAACCTTGTCCATAGGGGTTTCCATGCCTCTGTTAGTCATCTACGCATTCCAGGAAGGATTTTTTTTTTTTTTTTTTTAAAGATTTCTCCAAGCAGAATTTGATACCATACTGGCCTGGAGTTCATTATATTGGGATTTAACTTACAGGAACTTAGGTGTATATTTGAGCCATAATGAGAAGACTTGGCTTAGATTTCAGGAGCCAAGTGCTGTTTGAGCCCTGAAGACATGTTGTGCTGCTGCTGCTTTAGAAAGGAGGGGTGAGCTTATTTCCTTGCTGCTTTTAGCAGGGATCCCTTTCGCTTGCTCTCTGTGCAGGGCATGGTAGTCCACATCTTCCTTGGAACTTGTGAGTCTGAGCTTCATCTTCTCTACGGGCAATCGGGGAATAGTGAAGACACAATCATTTGTACCATTTACAGGCTGAATCCTGTGGTAGGAGTCAGACAGGGTGAGGACCTGGGTGGGTAGATGCAGACAGTGAGGAGGAGGGTGGGGTCTTCAGGGTTTGGAGAGTTGGTGAGAGATCGGGAAAGGCAGCTCTGTGCATCGACTTTCCACATCTGGTCAACCAGGCTGGCCTTCTGCGTTCTTGAACGAGAGCACGAAGACTTCTCTAGGGAGCTCTTATGGATCCTCATCGTTTCTTCTCCTCACTCGTCTTGTGACCCTTGGGTGGAGTGAATCACCCAGGCGGAGCCGTCCTTTCCAACACATACCCCTTGAGGAAGCATCCAGCAGCCTAACCAGAACGATGCAATGACTTGGGTCTTGAAAAGACCTTCTTTGTAACAGTCTCACCCTGACCTGGGCCTGAGGCCCAGCCTCATGGGTGCCTTTTGCAGCCAGGTTTCAAGAGAGTAAAATCAGTAGGGCACTGCTTCCAAGGGGATTTGAACCTTTTTAAAAATCCGGACCATGAACCCAAAAGGATGTGTGCTAATTCTAGGAGGATTCGCAGGTGTTCCCAAAACAGCAACAAAGAGGAGGAATGTCATTAATGACTTCTTATATTTGGGGGAAGAATCATTGCCTTTTGTCAGATAACACAGTTCATGTCCTCTAGCTACTAACGGAGTGGCTGTCCCGAGAATCCCCTCCTCCCAGCTGTGATGGCTGACAGGAGCAGAAAGCCGGCGTGCTGCAGCACAGGGCCGTTCAGCAACTCATGTCATTTCCAGAGTTTCCCATTAAATATAAATCCATCCTCCAACCATGATACTTTTCCCCTTCAGCATATCAATTGCCAAGTAATTATTATTTATCTAAGAACGGGCTTGATGCGTCTTCATGGTGAATATTATTGGAGAGGCATTTGAATGTGAACTCACTGCTTAATACTAAAGAGAAACTATTTGCACATGTACAGTCCACACAAGAAGAGTGTTGTGGCAGTTAACGTACTCAGCGAAGCCACAAGACCTGTAAGTCTCCCACAGTCAGGATGAAACCCTAAGAGTGGTTCTCTGGCCCAGAATCAAGCATCTGTCTCAAGCAGGCATCACTGCCCTGGCCCTATTTTAGTTGCCTCTGTCCTTGAAGACAGTGAAGCTAGGAGAGGGGAAGAGCACGGTGCTTGCAGTTCACTTGATGAGCCTCTCTCAGTTCCAGCCACTTCCACAGGCTGGACACCCTCAGCCTCTCCTGCACTTGGAATCTGTTGATTATAGTTGGTGGTGTCCTGGTTGAGTCTCAGTTCAGGCAGTGACATGATTGAAAGGCCACCAGGGTGCATCGGTATCCCACATGGATGAAATGACTTGGGGTAGGGTCGTAGACTTCTAAAATCTTCAGGTCAGACAGCACCTTGAGGTCTTCAGAGAGCTTCTGGAGCAGACTCCTCTGCCCTTCTCTACCTTCCTCATAAGCAGTCTCTTCAGTTTGCCCCTCCCTTTGCTGCCCGGGAATGAAGCAGCCGTATTATTGTAACCTCTCAACTGGCTTTCAGCTCCCCTGTCCTCCGGACCGATTCAGTCCTAAACCAGCCTTCAGCGACAGGCTTCTCTGCGTGTTCCTCTCCCACTCTCTTTGTAGCATTTGATCCAAGGGCTTTTTATTAGTATCCATATCTTTGGGTATAAACGATATAAGATACATAGGTGGACTAATAGATAGGTCTTCTTGACATCTTTCATGCATATAAAACATATCAAATCTGGCATACTTGGTTTCTCTGCACAGTGTCCAGTACGAGGTCAGCTTTTACTTGTTCTGTCAGACTCTACTGCCATCAAACTGCAAGGTTTCTTTCTTCGTTAAACTACCAGCAGAGTCCCCAGAATTCCAATGGGTAATACTGTGACCTCAGCACTTCAGTGGGAACATATTTTCCTTTGCTCTGGGGGCATCCAAGTCCTCCTCTGTGGCTCCTGAGAAGAGCTAAGGATAAAGACAGTTTCTTGTAAACAGGTGCACTCTTGGGGTCCCTTGTTGCATGATTTATGCCCCTCTCCCCCATTTATTCTCACAGGCCAGTCTGGTTCTACTGTTATCAATGGGGCTAGGCTTAGATCTCCTTCACGGCATTCTGATTTGGTTTAAGACCTCAAGATCTCTCCCAGCCTCTCCCTAAATTGGTTCAGAGCTGGCCTAGAAAGGGCCTGTCCTGGCCTTAAAGGTATCCAGGCAAAGGTGTCGCTCAGCTGCCTCTTAAGCATTTCTAGATTAGATATCAGTGTGTAAATAGTGAACCCAAGCCCTTTGGACCACTTTCCCGACCCAGCATGAGGCTTGCCTGGCTGCACTAGCTTCCTGCTTTTAGATGGGCCAGAAGTTCAAGGGTGCGAATGAGAGTATAGCCAAGCCTTGAACCAAAGCTGGGATGTAGCTGGCGCCCACATGGCCACGGGCTGGGCCCACACAGCTCCAGAATTGATCCAGGCGCTGTGGCTGACTGGCAACAGTTAAGTAGGCCAGACTCCTTCACAGTTTGCCAATTTCTGGCCTAGCTCATGGGGAAAATGTTATACTGCAGCTCAGTATTGCTATTTAAAGATTTCTCCTCTACCTGCTGCCACTTGCACTTGTTCTGAGACAAGTGATTGGTTACTTATGCTTCGCAATTGTGTATGCCGTAGTTAGAGGAACAGCGCTAAAAACCTTCCACACCCCTCCGAGGCCCTAGATTTAGCATCTGACCTTGTGGCTTCCCCCAGTCCCCAGCGCCCTGGGTGCACTGCCCAGGTCCCTGCCTTGTGCATGCTGAGACAGCGCTGCCTGCCTCCGCTTGTGTGTCCGGTGTGTGTGTGGGCAAATCGCTCTGGTTCTCTCCACTGCCATTTCCATGTGCCTGCCGCTCCCTAACTTCAGCCTGGGCCTGCCCCCACTTCTCGCGGAGGAGCTGGAGTCCAGGCAAGTAGGCTGGAGAGCCAGTGGGCGGTGGTCTGGTGTTGCTGGGTGGGTTGAGGGTGGGTATCTGAGTTTGGGGAAGTGGCACCGAGCTGGAGGGCACAGGGTCGAACTTACGCTTGTAGTGCTGTGGCAGGGATGCAGAACTGGACACCGCCCTCCAGGCGTGGCCCTCCCGCGGACTTAGATCGTGACCAGAATAAGTCATTGCCAAAGACCACACAGCTCTGGAAAGGCCAAGCTAACCCCTACCTTTCCAGAAATTGATATGGCCTACCTTTGCAAAAGGTGTCTGATGCTTTAAGAGTGTGCTGAGTACAAATAAGTCCCGCCTGGTAGGGAAGAGGCGGTGTTATCTGCTCCTGTGGTGCCATGGAGGAAGCGAGCACACAGCTGTAGCTGTCTGCCCAAGCCAAGGCTGAAAATAATGCTGCCTCATTTTGGTGCTTCAGGGCCAGGCCCACATATGCAAAGCACAGGGACTATTAAATTGCCTCGGATTTAAAGGAAGTCTTGGCTGTTTTGTCCCAGCGTGGCCTGGTCTGGGTTCTCCTGTGGTGTGCCGACTGCTGCAGCGACAGGTCGGAGCCTTATGCCTGCTGCCACTTTTGACGGCTGCAGGAGCAGAAGGGCTCGTTAGCGCTGGGTTTAGGCAGCGGCAGCAGCGTGTGCTTTCTCATTCCCAGGGTTTGAAAATGCCTGAAATGTTATAACTACGTTTGCAAAGCTCAAATTCTTACTTAGTCTGGCACGAGGAGGACTCAAACACAGCATTTTTCATGGTGCTGAGTGCCAGTGGATTTGTGATGAAAGCATTTGGTGCAAGGGTCGTCTTTTATGTACCGATGGTACCTCCACCACTGGAATGGTTACCTGCAAAAGAAACTTCCAGTTCGTTTTCCCCTGGCTTCTGCAGGAGGGAGTTCCTCTTTTGTTCCCAGTCCTAATTCTCTGACTTCCCAGTGGAAATCTAGAGATGTTCTTCAGTGAGCCTTTAATGAATGGCCCCTGGTACTGACCACTCCATACACCTGGATGTAAAAATCACAGACTGTCCGAGCCTCTAGCCAACCCTCTCAGTTGAAAGATGGAGAAAGTGTGGTCCAAGTAGAAGTGAATTACCTGCAGTTGCAGAGGGAGTAACCAGCAGACTCAAGTGTTCCAGCTTCCGTTGGGATGTTCAGATGTGGGGTTCAGGCACCTGAGTCTGTAGCATGTGTGTGCAGGGAACCCTCCAGAGATGCCAGTTAGTGGTAGGCAGGATTCTCCACGTTTTCTGTATACACGCATTGAAAGTTTTGTTCCACATTTATGCCTAATGTTTCTGTTTTGTTCCAAAGAAAATAGAAAATGGATAATTAGCAATTCTGTCTGCTCGGTACATTCCTTTCAATGATACTCTTAGTTGGAATAAGTTGCATTACCTGCAGATAGAAGGTTAAGGTTGGCCTTTCCTCTGGGGGCCCTTCTGGGGGTGGGCTTCCCACAGCAACTGTCCTGTTTCTCAGAAGCAACAGGATCTGGGGGACTCACGGGTGAACTACCTCCATGCCTCAGTTTCTGGGGAAGATAGAGGCTTAATAGCCATCCACCATCTGATATGTAGATTGAAATATTATTGCCACTCTTTTCTCTGTTCTCACCCTTCTCTAGATCTCTCTTTAGATTATCTGAGGCAACAAATGAGGCTGATTTCTGGACCAAAATATCAGTTCTGTCCTTAGCAGCACCTGGTGGAGAACAGAGTTACTTTAGATTCCTTAGGCATCCTCCCCCCCGCCCCTCCGAGGGAAAGATCGGCCTCACCTTGGGAGCCACTAATGGAAAGTGGCAACTAATCTCATTAGTGTCCCCACTTAGAGGCAGAGCCAACTGCAGGATCAGGTCCTGAAATCCGGGCAGCAGGGGAAGCAGCCGCTGCATCCAAGAGTATGACCTCCGAGTGCTGGCTGCTGGGAGGGCAGACACTGGGCTGGCAGGACCCTGGGTCAGGCTTGGCCAGACGGTGGGGTGGACAAGGGCTTTTACTCCCTGATAGAACGTGAATCTCTTTGGAGCAGATTACTTTTCAGAAATCCAGAGCATTTGTTGTCTGAGCCAGAGAATTGGCTTTTCCAGTTCCTTCCTTCTCTCTCCTCCGCTCCTGGTTCCAGCTCTCCCACCCTGCTCACCCTGACTCTGTGTCTTTATCCACACCATGTTTTCGGTTCAAGAAAACCCTCTTTCCCACAGGCTGCCTTGGTCCAGGCCACCAAATTCATCAGCTCTGCTTATTCAGGGACCTTCAGAAACCCTCCTAGAGACCCCTTTATCCACTTCTTAGCAGAAAAATCACATATGTATAAATATTGTCATCGTCTCGTGACTCAGTTTCTTCAAACCAGGGTCCTGACAGAATCACCCCACCTCTCCTCCCACTGAATTGTATCCCCACACCCAGATTGCACACGAAGAGCAGACCCTACTGGGCCCTGGGCATTCGGGGTGTGCCATTGCCAGGTGCTCTACCATGAGAAGGGGAGAGTTGATGAGGGTCCCCCTCTTCTCATAGAGGGCGTCTCTGTAAAGCTGTTGACCTCAGCCCTGCCGGGGTTGCTGTATGAGGCCCTGTTATGAGTCAGTCAGCAAACGTTTGACATTTGCCAGGTAGGAAGCATGCTCCCAGGTGTCCTGGGAAATAAAAAGGGAATGGAATGTCAGGGAAGGAAGCTGACACCCACCCACAGATGTGGAAACACAGACCATGACAGCCATTTCACTGACTTAGAAAGGGCCTGTGTAGGGCTTCTTATTTCTCACGGTATTTGGATGCGAGGAAGGGGAGACGGAAGATTGCAGGGGGTTTACTGTGACACTGTTCTTAGCTAGTGGGTCAGTATATCAGTTTTTGGTTTCGTTTTTTAAAAGACAAGATAACACAAACATACCTGCCTCAACACAGCAGTAATATGTTAGCTGTCAAAGGAGTTCCGACAGGGATGGCGCAGGGGGCAGGGTCTGGGGCCCAACTCTTTCCTACCTTTTGCTCGTGGTGTGGGGCTCTGAGTCGTACATGAGTGACACATCATGGCCCTCACTCAGGACAGAGAGAGATCCAGCGAGCAGCTTCTTTTGGCTTCTCTGAATTGCAAGCCCGGGTGCCCATTTTGCCCGGGGCAGGGCTTCTTTGTCTTGAATTGAACCTGGAAGGTGTCTCTGATCCTGGCCGTCCACCAGTGACTCGCATCTGCATTCACGTGCCTCCCTTCTCTCTGTCCTGTCTTCTCTCTGTCTCCTCTGCCTCCTCCTCCCCTGCAGGTTCACTTGCTGAAGGACCAGCTGGCTGCTGAGGCTGCGGCGCGGCTGGAGGCCCAGGCTCGCGTGCACCAGCTCCTGCTACAGAACAAGGACATGCTTCAGCACATCTCTCTGCTGGTGAAGCAGGTGCAGGAGCTGGAGCTGAAGCTGTCGGGACAGAACGCCAGTAAGCCAGGGCCCTGCCCAGCCTCACCTCCATGGGGAAGCTCTGGAACCACATGTTCTCTTCCCTAAAGCTTTTTGGTGGTGCTTTATTGGACCCCTGACCTGACCTGGTGTCCCAGCAGAAAACAAAGGCAGCTCTGTTTGTCCCATCCGTACATTTCATGGAGTTACAAAAGGGCAGGGCCAGAGAGGGGCTTGGCTGCCTTCTAGCCCAGTGCCCAGTCTTGACCTTGAAAGTCCCCGGGAGTCACGACCACATGTTCACCCAGCCTCTCCTCGATGGGGGCCCGGGCTCTTTACAGGTAAGCTAGGGCTGCCCGTTTCTTTCTCAGAGGGCTTTTCCAGTCGAAACACGCTGAGCACCTATTGTGAATCGTGCTCTCTGTGAGCTCTGCAGGAGACATCGAACTGTTTAGTAGTTTACTCTCCCCGCACTATTTCACAACTCGGCAGCATAGAAAAGGCTGGCAGCAGTCCGTCTATTTAATGGATGAGGCAGAGGAGTAAACTGTGGGCAGCTAGCTCTGCTGGTTAGTGGCAGAGGTTGCCTGGCTCCCAGCCTGAGATGCCTGCCTCTACGCCCAGCCACCCCCAGGCTGCACTGAGAAGTTACTAGAAGACAGCGTGTCTCCACGCCTTCCTCCTGAGCTTGTCCCTGGGTTGTCTGCTGCTCGAAGTGTGCACTGGCTGTGGACCAATATCCATTGACCGTATACATAATCTCATTTAATCCCTATAGTGGTAGGTGGTGGTGTGCCCATTTTACAGATGAGGAAACAGACTCAGAGAGGTTAAGTAACCAGCCCACAGTTTCAGGACTAGCAAAGTGTGGAGCCCAGATTCAGACCCAGGTCTTATGCTTTCCCCGTTATACCAGTAGTTCTCCCACACGATCCCGTGAGCTTTTTAAAAAATGGATATTCCCAGATCCAAGCCACAGAGGTTCTGCATTCGGAGATCTGGGGCAGGGCTGATAACTCTGTGTTTGTAAAGTGGCCCAAAGTTACGGATTGGGAACCACTGTACTTAACCACTCTGAAAGCCTCTGTGGATTTTTATTGTTGTTTATCAAGGCCCTGTTGTATTCTAATTAATGCCAGTTTACAAGGTTGCACCGAGTGTTACCACATGCTTTTAAGGTAGCTCTTCAGTTCAGTTTGTACCTTCTTCCCACCACACACCCCATTCACGGCATCCACGGGCCTCACCAGCTGATCATGTGCTTATCGTTGCCCTGCCCTTACCACCTCCCCGAGCTCCTCGCCTTCAGCCTAGCGTGTCTGTGCTGTGTGGGTGGAAGGAAGGGCTGAAGAGCCCCTGTGAGGGTTCGCTCAACTGGCCAGGGACCTGGGTGGGCCAACGGTGGCTTCCAGACCAAGCACCTTGCTAATGTCGCCCCCTCCCCCTCTTCTTCCC